ATAAGCCTCAACTTTAACTACATCTGTACTAGGCTTGAATTTACAAACACTTCAGAGTAGAGGAAGCAATGCATACTGCAATGTAAGAACATCACGAGACAGTGCCACCACCTGTTCAACTAAAAGGATGGATATAGTGGTAGAGAATGGCGTATAAAGATAGCTAGTGCATCAGATCAATCTCCTGCAGTAACTGACTCATCTAAGATATTAATATGGCAGTCCTTAGCAGGCTAATAAAGTTCTTAAAATCATTCTTTTAAACAAATATTTTATTTGTTATTTTTATTTTATGTGTATGAGTGTATTGCCTGCAAGTATGTAAGTACACCCATGTCCTGCAATGCCCGAAGAGATCAGAAGAGGATGTCAGATTCTCTGTAACTGGAATTACAGATGGTTGTTAGCCTCCATGTGGGTGCTGAGAATTGAACTAGGTCCTCTGTAAGAGCATCCCTTGCTCTTAACCACTGAGCCATCTCTCCAGCTCCTTATAATTGTATTTAAAACAAAACTTAAAAGTGTCTTTTACTGTTTTATCTGTGAATGGTACAGGCAGGCCAGGCTTTTCCTGGGCTGACAGTTCCTGAGTTGTTTTCATCACAACAGAAGACCAAGTGTTGGACTGTTATTACTACCTTGGTCAACATCAATCAGCCCTCAGGATAATTTCCCTTGCTCAAAAACACTTCCTTAAGCCTCTTACCAAAGCTGCATGAACCTGAAAATTAGACCACTCAGTGCTTTAGATGCTGCTTCACCCACCTCCTAACAAGGCATTCATGCCCTACCCTTATGGGACTATTTCTTTTTTGAAATAGCTATCGACTCTTAAAGGCTGTTGGTACTTTCTTCACATCTATTTGCTACCAAGCCCCCAAGAGTTTGTACCTGCTTCCATGGTCTAATAACTGACTGTCCTCACTGTGACCACCTTACTGACAAGCCCAAGCCTCTGAAACTCTGGACCACCCCTTAGTTATTGGAACTTAGTTCTCCCCTGGTGTGATGGTTTATACTGTCAACTTGACAGATCTAGAATCACCAGGAACAGAAGCTTCTGGGAACACCTATGATGGATTATCTAGATTGGGTTAGTCTGTAGGCCTGCCTATGAAGGATCATCTTCATTATCTTAACTGAGGTGAGAAGATCTATAATAAATGTGGGTGGCACCATTCCCAGGGCTGAGGTCATGGCACTGCATGAAAAGAAGGACAGTTGAGAAGGAAAGGTTCAGCATTCATCAGTCTCTGCTTCTTGGCAATGGATACAACGTGGCTAGCTACCTCAAACTCCTACTGCTTTGATTTCCCCACCATGATGGACTGTTCCCTCAAGCTGCAAGCCAAACAAACCCTTTCTC